AAAAATGTATTACAGAATAACACTTACATGGAGAAGTTAAGTGGAGAGATCTCTATATATTTTACAACAACTCCACCCCAACAGTGACCATGCCATCCATTTGGCAGGTGGAGAAATTAGTCGTTAGAGGCTTGCTTATTAAGCAAGCATCCGTTTTGAAAATGGAATGCCAAAAACAGATTATGGCATGGCTGACAACCGTTCAGGATCCAACTGATCGCATTACATTAAATTCTATAAATTAATATGCAAAAAAACTCAAGCTTTTAAAAACCAAATTGACAAAATTAATATGGAAACAAACTATTTGGAGAAACTACAGGCTTCTCAATATGTCCAAGATAATAAGGCAGGGAAATTATTAGCATGTCTATTGAGAAGGAGAGACAGATGCAAACCTATATCCCATATCAGACATTAGCAAAGAATTAGCCATGCATTATTACAAGAAGTATGTTATAAGCAACAATGCTAACATACACCAACCCTCTGACCAAGAAATAGGTAAGTATTTGCCAAACATCGATCTACCTGGTCTGACAGTGGAGCACCAAGAATTTCTTGCAGCTCCTATCACAACCAAAGAGATAGCAAACATTGCAGATCATCTCCCATTAGATAAATCACATGGTCCCAATGGGTTTTTCAGTACTTGTAAAAAAACTACTGCCACACATGGGATGTCTCTTTGACTCTGCGATTGCTTCAGAAATGTTGACCGCTCATATTGTCACTCTCCTGAAGTCTGGTAAACATACAAACTTCTTAGATTATTTTTTCTTCTGAATTCAGATTCAAAGATATTTGCTAAACTTTTATCAAATCAGTTAAAAAAAACCTTTACCCTCTATTATACAGAAAGACCCTTTGGCTTTGGGCAGGGGGGTCAGCAGGTGGCTGACAACACCATAAAAGTTATAGACATTGTACATAGTTGATACAAATTATGCTTGGAAACCTTGTTGACTTCACTTGACGTCGAGATGGAGCTCGTCCATCTCCACTAGGGTTTCCTGGAGGTGTTCTCATGAAATTTTTATTTCCCCCAGAAATTCATATCATACATGAAAACTCTATATAGATGCTATACAGCACAGGTCCTCACATCAGGTTTTCTTGTAAGACCCTTTCCCATTGTCAAATGGGATAATGTTTATCATTGATTTGTTACATGATATCATCAATGTAAAATGTTGATGTGCCGAGGAAAATGTTAGATTACTACTAATAATAATGAGATAAACTGTGGGAATATCAGGTTCTGATTAATATACAGTACCTTTTTTATGTCAGGGTAGCAGACATTATAATATCATAATAATTATTTTAAAATCACTATTATTTTTAACCAATTTATTCATAAATGTTAATTTGTATGTGTGCAACCACCACATGCTGATACTCATTTTCTTTCAAACAGCGAAAGTGTTTAACTCTTCCAAACCTTGTCTATTTCATACTTATTGTATATTGATTGTATTGAAATTACTGCTGCCTATTTCTTTGTTCAGACAGTTCCATTTTAGGTGATGTAAATTTATTTTATTGGGGAACAATACAGTGACAGTACAATAACTTTATTTAAACAGTGTATCAAAGAGGAAGAGCGGTAGACTCCGGAGAAGTTGATATTGGAAAACAAATCATGCAGACAATCCCACCAGGTTTATTCTGGCGTTTCCAAATTACAATCCACCACCCGCTGTATTTGAAATTTAATGTTTCTTTGGCTAAAGACTCTTTGCTTGGGATTTATGGAAGAAGAAACATACCACCAACTCATACACAGGTAATTAATATGGAATAATTATAAATTGTAGGCTAAAAGAATATTTAGCCTTGAACAGATATGTCATAGTTTTTTTAAGATGGAATAATGAGCTAGAGGCTTTATTGTTTTAGTATAATCTTATCTGGTTGAAAAGTGACACATCTGATTTTAGCAAAAGTAATTAATTCAGTGAGAACCCAATTCATTGTTTAAATTTGAATGTCATGAAATTTGAATGTCAGTATTGTAGCATGTGGTATCTCGTTATTGTTCATAAAATATACAGAGTTATTCACTAAAGTCGGAATCCAAAATGAATTTCAAATTTAAAGACAAATTAGCTGAACTGAAAACACAGCTAAATAAGAGATTTTTTTCTGGTTCGGATATTTTGACCTTAAATTTGAAATTCACTTTGTATTCTCACTTTAGTCACATCTGGAAGTCCATTACTAATGCAAACTTTTGGGCCTGTATAGTTTATTGATTAAGCACCAAACTGAAATGAATTGAAAACAGAAATCCAAAAATGAAAATAGCTGTGACTATAATCAACTTGGAACATTTTTCCAAATCTCTTCTTTTTGCATTATTTTTACAATTCATTTTATTGAATAAACCTATCGCCACCAAAAAAATCCAGTAAGACATTTTAGTGATAGAAAACAGGAATGGCTAAAGTTGTATTACTAAATAACTAATGGAAATATTAAATAAAGAATACAATAAATAATGCAATATATCAGATATTATTTTCAAATATTTTTTATTGAAATTATTATTATTTTTTCATTTATAGATTTTACAGCACATATTTAGTGTTATAAAATGAAATTTAAAAAAATTAAAGTAAAATACACATCTGGTTGAATGATACAAAAGTAATAACAATTAATACGAATTACATCATTGCATCATTATCTTATTTGTATCAGCAATATATTCAGCAGTATATAATGAATTCAAAAGACAGTTAAATATATATTAGTCTAGATAACCAAACATTTGCAGCATACAATAATTACAACAGTACAATTACTTCATTATAATATTATCTTATTCATATATAATACTGAAAAAAAATTTGGGTGGAGGAGAGGAGGGGGAGAGAAAAAAGGAGTTTTGAATGAATCAATATTAAAGAAAGAAAATAAAAGAAAGGATTGGGAAGGAGAAGGAAGGAAGGTTGGGGAGGGGAGTTGTATTAAAACTTTTATAGTTACGTAATGATGTGCAAATGTATGTGAATGAGGAAATACATTCCTATTATTAGGTATTCTTATTACATAAAGAATGTTATAGCATCATAACACAGCTTCATTTTTCTTGACTTGTACTTAGCCACACAAGCAATTTTCACATGTGTGCTGTGTTTGTTTAAACACAATTTAAAATGTTCACATTTATTGCACCCACACATATTGCATACTGAATTTTTAAAAGACAAAAGGGCGTACATATATAACAAACAAAGGCGCATGAAAAAATATTTTTTTGTCACAGTTTTGGCCATGTTAATATGCACATAATTAGTGCAGCTTAAGAAAAATGTATTTAAAATAAATTACTTTATGTGTTCTGAAATATAGAGGACATAATATGTCTTGAATTTCAGTTTACTTTTGGTAATTACATGTCACAACATACATGGAGTAAAATACAATTTCAATGTGGATTTAGTATGTATTTTAGCTTTTAGAGATAGCATTTGAGAGATTTAATTAGTAAGTATGTGCCTCATTTTGGGGCATTGTAGCAGGTTGACTCAATACCCCACAAACACATGCAATTTTCAAAAGTAGGTACCACCGGGTATGCCATATGGTATATTCTGAGCCTTATTGTACAGTTATCTTTGCACCAATTTCTTTTAAAGTTTATGATATTGTTTTATTTTTGCAATTTTTTTACATGAACATTGCAATTAAATGGTTTTATTATGTAAACATGATTTGTGCTACTGTAATACAAATGACTACATTTTGCTCAGCTATATCTCTTGATTACAGAAGGACCCCTTTAACATACACGTGTCAAGTATTTTTTGAAAATACAGGGCTGTATCAATATATTAAGATGGATCTATGGTGCATTTTGGTGCATTTCAGTAACTTACATATTCAAATTACTTAACAAGTGCATACTATTTGCAAATGTGCACACCTCAGGGACCTCAGGGACCTCAGGGACTCATATTTTTAGCTTTATTGAGGATCCATTTTTTTCTAGGTTTGTGGTATTAATATTTATTTCATAAAATTTACACATACAGTATACAGTATTTTTTCTACTTAACTTTTAAATGTCATGTTTGCCACTGTAATAATAATCCATAAACAGCAATCAGCAACATCTCCTGAGTAAAACAACACCCCTTATGTAAACCACTGAAAAGTATCAATCCTGGTTCTAATCTTAAACCAGAGGGACCTGATCAGGATTTCCTCAGTACCTATGTGATTACCCTTGCTGGAGGGAATCTCCAGTGACATAAAAAAATAATGTCACAGGGAGGGTGGCTGAATAATATCTCAGGCTGATGACAGCATTTGAAGGAAGCAGCAGAAGTATTATATCTTAATTGCAAATCCTAATTACTGTTTCTTAAAAAAATTACTGTGTCTTAAATGTTTATATTGTTATTTTTAAAAGTACAGTAACTAGGCATTTTATTACATTGCCTAATAAAGATGTAATTTTTCTATAATCGTAGTTTGATTTTGTAAAGCTAATGGATGGAAAGCACTTGATGAAGCAAGAACCAAAAAATGCTGAAAATCCCCAGCATGCACCACGTAGTCTAATTTTGGCATCTTTACAAGAAACTGGTTTTATTGAATATATGGATCAAGGTGTTTGGCATTTAGCCTTTTACAATGATGGAAAGAAAATGGAGCAAGTATTTGTACTAACAACGGCAATTGGTGAGAATTCTCCTTATGTTCCTTATCAGACATGCAATGTATGTTTGCAGGGGAGGTATATTATATTTGTATTTCATCAATTCTTTCAAAAGAAGTAAGATGACTGGTAAATTTCATGACCACAACAATTGGTTCTCAAAAATGTGCTTGAACATAATTTTATAGGCAATAACTAAGAGTCTTAAAATGGATTGTAGTCTGCAACAATAGCTGGGTTATTCACTGAAGTGGCAATAATTCAAAGTTTTTTAAAGTGAATTGGAAACTTTACACCACAATAACTCGATTTGAAATGTCCTCACTCTCAAAAGTCAATTATGCTTTCAATTTAATTATTTTGGCCTATAATTTGGGATGTGGTTAGGGCTAAATCCCACCAAACATTGAATGCACTGTTGAGAGATCCAACATTGTTTCTCAATTGAGCTGGCAAACCATTTTAAAAAACTAATGTAACTGTACTTTTTTACATGTTCAGTTTATAGATTATTTGAAGATTTTTTCACCTTCATTCTCACTTTACATAATCTTAGAAAAGGAAATAGTTGTATCCATTCAGAACAGCTAAACAATCAATACTGTGTCTAATCAGAATAATTAATAGTGTAAGGACAATTATTGCTGCACATTAGTCCCGAGTAAAGTGTTATAAAGTTATAAGCATTTACTACTAAATCTGTTACTAATGGTAGTTATCTGTTTCATAATTACTAATTAGGTTTATGTATGAATAATTATTTGGTTGAAATGCATTTGAATTTTTGTTGTCTCACAGTTGAATAACTAAAATATTTGGCAAATTTAACAAATGTCCTTATGTGTCAACCACAGACATCTATAATCACATCAATTTCACTGCAATTTAATGTGCCCAAGAAAAAATGTATATGAACCTTTTTGTCCTGTCATTCAGATTTTCAAGGCATCAGAATAAAAGCTTGTAGGAATCCATTTTTGTGTAAAAAAGAAATTTGATGCAATTTACCTGCAATTGAGTCACTCACAGCATATTACATTTAAAGATGAATTCAAAATGTAACTCTATTCAATATTCATCCTATTTTGTTCACTCACAGAAATGATGGATGATTGTTCTACCAACTGCAATGGCAACGGAGAATGCATATCTGGTCATTGCCATTGCTTTCCGGGATTCCTTGGTCCAGACTGTTCTAGAGGTACAAGTCACTGATCCAACATGTCTTTAATATATCCAAGTGATTTAGATGAATAATTCTCTATCCCATTTTAAAACTTGTTTCTGGGAATACGATGAGGATTCTGCTTTTAACTTTCATAGTATTTTGATCAAAATGATCAGAATAATTATTGGTTATTTAAAAAAAAATAGAATTGTCAAATCCAAAAATATTTCCAATTAGAATGGAAACTAAAATGTATGTTGTACTGCTTTGCTTCACATCTCTTTAGACGGTTTAATATTGAGTATGGTAAATCTTCTTATATAATCTTTGAACGTAAGCTGCAAAAAAAAACAGGTAGAAGAGCAACACCAATTTGTAGGCCACAGAGTTTGTAGTCACATTCTACCACACCTCTAACCAACTTTTTAACACAGGTTATCATTCATTATATGTGGAACTGATCTAAAATCCTTTTGAACCTGTATACAGTGAGGTGTACTGTCTAGGCTGGACATATATTGTTGTAGATGTATATAAACAACTATCAGTGCAAGTGTTAGGCCTCATACCTTTTAATCTTTTAACTATGACCATTCCAGTGCAAGTATTAAGAACACGACTTAAATTTAAGTTTAGGCAAACAATCAATTAATATTTTTATAAAGATCACCATGGCGATCATATCCAAGGTGACCACTTTTGCAGATAAAAAGAAAAAAAAGGCATATTTAATTACTAATTCTCTGCTCACAGAACATGGAGTCCCTCTTCCTGTAAGAAAACTGTGGTTTACCACCATCTAGCTGGCACAGTGTTTATAAGTAATAATGTAATTATCAGTGTACTTAGTGATGAGAAAGGTTAATTCCTTAAGTTTAAAGCTTCAATATGTCCTGATTTATTTACCAACATTAAAAAGTAATTTAGCAATGCTTAGTTCACAATGTAAATAGTGTGGACTTTACCCTGGCTGTACTCATTACTGTGTTCTAGGTCAGAGAGAGAGTACAGTTAGTACAAAAAGACAAAGTGAAAATCCATTATGCTAATTATATACAGAATATGCATCACTAATACATCATACTAATTATGCTAACACGGGGATGTCATCCTAGGTGAGGTCATCTTCTCCTGGCTGCCAGGAGGTTAATAGTGTTGCAGTGTGGGTAAATGTTTTGCCCCATGCTGAAAACACTGCTTTGTATGAATTTCCTCAATTTACAAGCTAAACAAACTAAATAGAACTAGTCTTTTTATTTTTTCACTCTAATTTTCTTTAAAATCTACTATAATCATTTCATACATTTTTCATTAAAGGGATACATTATTATCGAAGATCCAGACCTGAAATAAAGTGATAATCACTCTGATGTTCTGCTCCCCAAGCTTCATTCAGTATTTTCTTCGGTCTGTAAGGTGTAAACTTGTATGGAACATCTGTGTGACTCCAGTTTTAGAACACAAAAAGCACAATAACAACTTTAGCTTAGACCCCACAGTCTCACTGCTCAACTCCCTCACAAACCCTCACACACACAGCACACTCAAACACACAGCACACTCAGACACACACAGCACCCTCACACATACACACAATACCCTTACACACACAGCACCCTCACACACACACACACACATACACACAATACCCTCACACACACAGCACCCTCACACACACAGCGCCCTCTCACACACACATATATAATATATAAAATAACCCTCAGTGAGTTAACAGACAAAGAAAATTAGAAACAAAACAATACACAATACCACACCACAATCAGCTCATTCTACACAATCCCAGAAGCAGGCTCCAAACACATGCACGATACACTTTCCTTGGACCTTTTGTCCTCTGGTATCCCATTTATGGAGACACCAGAGACAAGTTACAAGCAAACAAAGTGCAAGCATGTTATTAAATTTGCTTGCACGGCGCAGAACAAATACAGGGCCTTTTTCTCATGCTAGAGCTCTTCAGCGGGGCTCTGCACATTGAACCACCATGCTCACTTTGAGAGGAGGTGTGCTTGTTATTAGTGATGACAAAACACACCCTCTCTGGTCCCACCCCCTTCTCAGAAGGCCACTGTGAAAAATGCCCAGGCTGAATTTTTTTCCTAGTCCGACCCTGCATATAAGTCTAGGCAGGCCAGTGCATGTATGACCCAATGTATCAGTGTCAGTCACACCATGCAATGGTATTTTATTTCACAGTGTAGACTAGCAATGAACTTGTAAATATATATTTATATATTCAATACATGCAAATTAGTTTAACAAGGATTGAAGTTCATGCTTGCTATATACAACAGCTTTGAAATACAACTCAGGAAGAGATGCATAGCCAGTGAACCTCTCATGGGCAGATGTTTCGTTGTTAATGCAACGCATCAGCATGAGGTTGGCTACCTGCTTGCTATTGAGGCTTGTATAGTATATTATGCACATATGATATAGTGCAAATATAATATTTACAAACATATAAACTTGTGTTTTAGATATGGCAGTAAATACATTCTTTTCAGGTCTAATTCTGTTTCTTCATTGTATTTCTAGATTCATGTCCGGTACTTTGTAGTGGTAATGGGGAATATGAGAAAGGACACTGTGTATGTCGAAATGGATGGAAAGGTGCTGAATGTGATGTTCCAGAGGAGCAATGTATTGATCCTACCTGCTCTGGTCATGGTACATGTATAATGGGGGTCTGTATGTGTGTACCTGGATACAAAGGAGAAATATGTGAAGAAGGTTTGTTTCTATTATATTCTTTTACTGTTTTGAAGTCCTATTTCTCAGTTTACTTAATAAAGTCTAGCAAAATAAACTGATGCATTTCCTGAACATAGCGAATGAGACAGAATCTAATAAAAAGTGTTCTTTTGGTAGTATGGACCCTGATTGTATAGGACTTTAGGACAGGTTTGTTCACTAAAGTGAGAATTCCAAGTGAATTTAAGATTTATTTATTTATTCCTTTTTTCCAAGGTTAGTTAGAGATATAGAAATCAGAAATAGGAAAGCATTTGAATAACATTGGTATGGTACATAAATTCGAGAAGGTATATCCCTCAAATAGCTTCCACTTTGCAATATGTACATAATGTTTTTTGGGTCACAGTGTAAATGTATGCTGTTCTCTGGGGCCCACTGCGCTCCCTTTGGAAGATAGCTGAAGTATAGCAGTATTACAATCCCATAGTAGTGCTAAGGTGCCTGGTCATCTCATTCCAGGGTTTACCTTGTTATTTCCCCATGTATGCTTCTTTCATTTACTGCGATTCCCAGAGCTGTGAATTTAAAAATTAATGTAAAAATAGCCAAACTTGAAAAATTATCTAACCCAGCTATGGTTCATGTTTAGGTACTTTGTCCTTAAAATTCACATTCACTTGTTATTCTCACTTCAGTAAATAATCCAGTGTCATCAAACCAATCCTAATATGAGTTCTAATGGTATTGAAACAGTATGATTGGACAATAAACAACATAGAATGACACAGGGCAGTATGCTTGTTCATCTAAAATAAGGATGTTAAAAAAACAGAAATATACATCCATACCTTTAGTATATGACAGGATCCTTCAGCCATATACATTCACTTTTGATTGGATAGTGTTTAGAAACCAACAGTTAATCCCCATGATCTTGCAAAAAGAAAGAAAGGTTGAAGAGGACAAACCACCGCCAACCTGTAGAGTGGAACAGAACATTTTCTGCCCCATGCTATAGGTTGGTGATGATTTGTCCTCCTCAACCTTTCTTTTTGCATGGTTTGAGGTGGGTGAGAGAGGTAACCATTAGAGTGTAGTAGTAGAGGTGGTTTTAAGTATTGTAATACACATAACTAAGTGCCTTCCTAACACACAGGAAATTATGTGATTGTATAGTATTTTAGTCCCCATGACCTTCCCTGCTCCACTCCCTGCACAGAAGCAGGGAAGACCATAGAGGCTAAACAGCTTTCAAACACTGTCTGTCTCATTGTGCATGCATATGGTTGAATGATCCTGTCATATAATAAAGGTAGAAATTAGTTCTAATTTCTTTTACATATACTTCGATTTAAAAAAAATATATATTTTCTTTCAAAACTTGATGAAAGCATTTTTATATTAAATAATTATTTTGATAGGACAGTTGTCCTTTAAGTTATGTTGGTTACCACCAGATTGTTCATATGTTATACAAAGAGGGCTGCATTAATTATGGTGCTTAACTACCCCTTCAAGAATTGTGTCATCCAAACCACATTGTTTTTTGTAAGTTAAAATGCAGTGGTTAGTGGTGTCAAATGAAATGGAAATATCTATAAAATGTAAAATGAAGTCATCTGGCCATCATATAACCATTGACAAAACAAACCATGTTTGTTCCTTTGCCGTGATTTTTAACTGAAACATGTCTGAAAACCACCAAATCTTATTTAATGAAACTAAGTACCAGCTGAATTGGCACACATCTTCAGTGACTCTCCTACAAATCTGTGTCTAGCACATCTAATCTACTAGATTGTAATTCTTGGGGGTTTTTTTTTTTCTAGAAAGGAGAGCTAAGATTGCTGAACATTCAGTAGAGAGAGTGATCAACTAACACTGAATAAATACTCTATTCCTAATGCTATATTGTTATACTAGCTAGTTAGAGTCAGGGTACCCCGGAATAATAAAATAAAGAATTTGTTTGCATTGTAGAGACAGTCTTTTTGCCCCAGAATTCAGGTGCCTAGACTGTCCTTTTGTGGTTTCACAAAATATTTAATTTTGATTGTCCAAGGATTAATCCCTGCTGCCAGATAAAGAAGTTCTTAAAACATTTCTAATATATTGGTGTAAACAAGATATATAGAATTTCTCACACACTCATAAGTAGTGTTCACATGCAGTGCTGTGTGAATTACAATTCAACAAGTGATTGTGATAGAAAGTGAAATAACTTCCCTTAGCAATATAGGATATGCCCGAAGATTTCCTCCTATCTTCAATTCAACATGCATATGATATAGGGCTATTCCAAGCTAGGGAAAAAGAAAATATATGGCATAGTGCAATACTGTATATACTGTGATTGGGTATATGAGTAAGTGACAAATGCTCACTCACACTTTAACATCCCAAGAAATGCTTTCAGAAATATGCTGTGTCTTCTTTTGCTTCAGAGTGCAAAAAAATGATTGAATGACTGTTTGAGTAAAGAGTAAAAAAAGCATTTATTACTTACATCAAAGTAAATAAAAGCAGGTAAATCAGTCCAACGCGTTTCTTCCCTGTTAGGGACTTCCTCAGGGACAATCTTTCACAAGGATGATGAATAAAAATACATATAAACCTAGTTACAAACATCTCCGAATATATACCACCCCCAATCAGTCCCAATAGTGGTTCTGCAGGTGATTCCATTTCTCTTCAGCTGTTTTCAATTCAAATTTGAGTTACTTCCGGGTTTCGTGTATCCTGTGCGGTCACATGATGTGCGTGATGACGTCATGCGTTCCAGCTATGCGTTCCACCTTCGTTTTGGCTGGCACTCATAATTACAAACTGAGATGTTGAAAAAAAGTCCCAAAAAAGACTGTTTCTAAGGAACAGGTTCAAGACTTGGGTTATGTTTGTTGCTTATATCATTCAGGTTCTGTTGGTTATGTTTGTTGCTTATATCATTCAGGTTCTGTTGATTATGTTTGTTGCTTAAATCATTTAGGTTCTGTTAGTGGAATGCAAGTACATTTTTCAAATGCAGATAAGTCACACACTAATAGTAGATTACAGGAAAAGATAAAGCTTAATGTTACAAATTAAAAATACTTCCTTCAGTATGCGCAAGATATTCGAGGTATAAGTAGGTAGTAAAACAATTGGTGTGGTAATTTGAGATGTGTATATACAGTATGTATATATGAGTATATTAATAATAAAGACAATTCATTGTATTTGGAACAGAATTTTCAGATTATTTTGACTGAAAACCTATTTTTCAACGAAAACCTCATTCTCCAGGATAAAACAACCCTCTCTTCAAATTTCTACCTTCTGTTATCTTTTATAACTGAGCTTATCCAGGTATACAGTATGTTTAGATGAAGCCAGATATATGAACACATATCTAATGTATATAATAAGACATTTTACATTGGCCAAAGGACGAGAGAGGTAGTTATCAGTAGCATGCTAACAGTGAATTTGAAATCTAAATTGATTATAACCACTCATACTATAGGTGATCTTTTACAAGATAATTAGAATTGCATTTAACATCATAAAATTGTATTTCTTGGAAGTAATATTTATAGCAGTATTGGATTTTATTTCTTCTTTAGAGAACTGCCTTGATCCAATGTGTTCTGATCATGGAGTATGTGTTCAAGGAGAGTGCCATTGTACTGCTGGTTGGGGAGGAGTGAACTGTGAAAACGCACTGGCACTTTGCCAGGAACAGTGTTCCGGCCATGGGACCTTCCTCCTAGAAAGTGGTGTATGCAGCTGTGAGCCACTCTGGACTGGGGCAGATTGTTCTACAGGTAAATACACATACATCTCTTTTGCTATTGTATTTAAAATATCTAATAAGAATGCCTAAGCTGTGTGTGAACCTACCTTCGCTATATAAGAATTGTTCATATCATGTACTGTTTTAGTGTCCAAGCTTTATATATGTGGTTTCCAAAGTTTGTTACTCATATTAAAAAAGGTTCTATAACACTGGATAAACAATTTCTAATTATATATTAAATAAATGATGCAAGCGGTTGTGGAACTAGACAAAAATGTCCAAAAGGTAGATCTTTATCTGTCATTAAACTCCTACAATGCTACGCCTGCTGGGGAGCTATTCAATTTTGCCATGCCATTATCGATAAGTTGTCTATAGAAAAGAATTTCAAAAGAAGCATATTGATCAGAATAAAAGTTGAATGTGAGAGAACCATGACTAGGTGAAAAATTAAAAGAATACATCTGTTTACCTTCTAGGCATGTACATGGGAGAAGTAGTATTTACTATTCTAGTTTCTTGTGAATTTTTAAAGGGACACTATAGTCATCCAGACCACTTCAGCTCAATGAAGTGGTCTGTGTGCCAGGTCCCTCAGGTTTTAACCCTTCACATGTAAACATAGCAGTTTCAGAGACAAAGTTTTATTTTGTGTTCAGTTACATCTGCTGAATAAAATGACACCTCCATTGTATGTCTTTGGCACTATTTCGTGAAGCTACAGTGCCATATAGGAGACCTGTCCTTTTCAGTATTCACAGTAGAATTTTGAGAGATGGATTTAATGAGCCTTTGCTTCCATTTGGGGTATTATAGTAGTTTGACTGTTCAAAAAAACCCCACAAAGGCCTACCATTTGTAAAAGTAGACACTCCAGTGTATCTCATAAGGTGCATATTGTGCCTTAACATGTCCCCATTTTTTCACCAATATATGCCAAAGTATGTTGTAAAAAATAATTTTGTGTATTTTTTTTCTCAATTGTATTTTATTGAATTTTTTCACAATTATGAATTCAGTACATGGTCACAGCTCGTGAAACATACATTCTGTGGTACAATGAATTCCTAACGCAGCCCCTTGAACAGCCGGGGATGGATAGTTTGTCGAACATAACAACGGTATATACAAAATAGGTGTGCAGGTAAGATCAATAAATAACGTAGTTGACATTTCTTTTACTTCTGTCCACATGGAAGTGGTATGCTACTCCTCACTTGGTTCTGGCCTGGTTAGATATCACTCCCCTCTTCTATGCTGTTTTGCTTATCCCAGACAATTCCCCTTTTCGTACCATGCCTCCCAACCCTCCCATGTTTCTCTAAATTTTACGGTGGCTGTAGTGGTGCCTGTGGACATTTTCTCATATATGTAAAACTGTTGTATTTTGTCTTTCAGTTGTTGTGTGGATGGGAAACTGTGTTTTTTCCAATTGAGCGCTATCAGGTTGCGTGCTGCCATTAAGATTAGTAAGAGCAGTTGTTTTTGGTTCTCGTGTGTTTCTTTGGGGAACAGTAGGAGTAGACAGGCCTTAATGTTTAGGGGGAAGTCTTTGATTCCCAGGGCGTCTATTATATCCTTAACATCCCTCCACAGCGGCTGTATGCCGCTACAGTGCCACCAGATGTGTGGTAGCGTGCCTATTTATGTATTACACCTCCAGCATTCGGCTGGCACTGCAGGGTATATCCTATGCAGCCTATTGGGGGTCATATACCATCTATAGAGCAGCTTTTGGTGCGCCTCTATATGGGAGTAGCATTGGGTCCATCTTTTGAGGCCATTTAAGGCCAATAACCAGTCTTCCTCAGTGAGCTCAGTCTCTGCCTCTGCCTCCCAGTGAAGTTTGCATGTTATTGGCTTATGGGGTGCTAACTCTAGCCAGGCTCTATAGCAAAGGGAAAGGGTCTTGGGTTTCTGCGGGGCTGTCCAGCATCGACTGGGTATTAGTCTCGCAGCTAGCGTATGTGTTGATAATGAAGATGGAGAGGTTTGTACATGTGAGTTAATAGTGTGTTTTAGCTGCAGATACGGAAAGATGTCTCTCTCCGGCACCCCCCATCTGCTTTTCATGTCTGGGAAATCCATTATAGTTTGCCCTTTGCACATCTGTTGAATCTGGGATATACCCAGCTGTGTCCACCTGGACAGGGGGATCGTGGGGTTCACTATGTGAAGCGCTTTTAGGGGGGCTTCGGGGTGGAAGTGCTTCTTCCAACCTAGGGATGTCATGAATTCGTCCCACACTTTGATCGTTGCTGCTGTGGTAGGATACAGCTGTACGGTGTGTCCCCTCAATGCCTTTGGTGTCCATATGTGGTTGAGCAGTGTGGGGTATGTAAGCTGATCGTGTTCCATATCTACCCACTGAGTTGTGCCCCTTGGGGCATGTAGTTGTATACAAGTAGCCAGCAGGGAGGCTTTGTAGTAGAGGCCTATGTTAGGTAAACCAATGCCGCCCGTGTGTGCTGTCTTTTGTAGGAGGTGTAGAGGCAGCCTAGGTCTTTTGCCCCCCCAAATATATGTGCTGCATATCGTTTGCAATGACTTATGGATTGCTGCCGGGACAGCTATAGTGAGCATTCTGAACTTGTACAGCAGTCTCGGCAGTAGCATCATTTTGTATGCATTTACTCGCCCTAACCATGAAAGGTTTGCAACCTTCCATTTAAGTGTCTCAGTTTTGCATATTGGTATGAGAGGTTTAAAGTTTAGTTTTATTATGTTGTCAATGGAAGTGGCGATTTTTACTCCTAAATATGTTAGGGATGTCGTCCGCCAATCGAGCTCATATGTGGTCTTTAAGGTTTCCACAAGTAGCCTTGGTAGGTTTATAGGTAGGGCCTGCGTTTTTTCTTGATTCAGGCGGTAATATGAGATTTTACCATAATCCGTCAAGAGTGTTAACAATGGGGGTAGGGAGCTCTCTGGTTTCGACAATGCCACAAAGATATCATCTGCAAATAAGGCTAAACAATACTCTGTTCCCCTCAAGGAGATGCCAGTTATATCTTTATGTGCTCGTACTTTTCGGGCCAGGGGTTCTAAAGAAAGGATGTAGAGCAAGGGGGACAGCGGGCATCCTTGACGTGTCCCGTTTGTAATGTGAAAGGTTCTAGAAAGGAACCCACTATGTGAGACCCTAGCACTGGGTTGTGCGTAGAGCGCCAGTATGCCTTTGATAATTTCTTCGGGGAAGTTGTATTTTTGTAGTACCCTCGTCATGTACTGCCAACTCAGCCTGTCGAAGGCCTTTTCGGCGTCCAGCGCCAGAAAAAGGCCTCCGAGTTTTCCTTTTGCCATCCCCTCCACTATATTTAGTACCTTCCTGGAATTATCAGAGCCCTGTCGGCCTCTCACGAACCCCGATTGATCATTGTGTACTAGTTTATGTATGAGTGGAGCTAATCTTTCACTAAGTAGCTTTGCATAGATTTTTGCGTCGCTGTTTAGCAGCGAAATGGGCCTGAAATTCTTACACTGGTCCGTGGATTTGCCTGGCTTGGGTAGGGTGGAGACATGGGCCAGTAGCATCTCCGCTGGTAAGGAGCCCTCTCTCATGCAATGGTTAAACAGTTCTGTGAGGGGCTGTGACAAGGAACTAGAGTATGTGCGGTAGTATTTATTGGGTAGTCCATCAGGGCCTGGGGATTTATGCTGTGGGAGTGAGGAGATCACCAAGGCTACCTCTTCTGTCGTGAAGGGGCTGCGCAGACCGTCTGTGTCAGTTGGCGATAAGGTCGGGAGGTTGACTTCCGACAGGAAGGCATCTATATCGGACTTTGTGGGGCATATCGTCTGTGGGTCATTCTTTAGATTATATAGTTTTTCATAGTATTGAGCAAACTCATCTACAATCCCCTGTGGGTCTAATATCTTGGCGCCCCCTGGTCCCTTGAGGGAGGCAATCCTGGAGGTCGTTGTTCTCTGTTTCAATTGTGCTGCTAGTTTTGCCCCTGCACAATTGCCGGCAGCGAAGTACTTGTGTTTGAGCCTGCGCGTGAGGAATGTAGTTTTGGCTAGTTCTATGTCTCTTAGTTGTGTTTGTAAGAGTAGTAACCTAGCGTGTGTGGACGCTGTTGGTGTGTGCTTGTTAGTGTGTGTTAATGTGGCTAGCTCAGAAAGTATAGAGGTGTACTTTTCAAGGCGCCGTTTTTTTGCATAGCTAGCGTGTTTTATGAAGCAACCCCGTATGAAGGCTTTGTGTGCTAGCCATATTTGGGTTAGGGGTGAGTCCGGAGTTTTATTCTCCCGAAAATAGTGTTTCAGTTCCTGTTCTATCTGTTTGGCTACCTCCGGGTCAGTTAATAGTTGTTCATTGAGTTTCCAGCTGCCTCTTCCTTTGTTGGGGAATTGTTCTCTAATTGACAATGTAATAGGCGCGTGGTCTGACCACGAGATCAGACCAATGTCCGTGTGTTCTACTTTCGTGAGGGAGGAGGTGTGGAGTAAAAATCTATCTATTCTAGAATAGCTGTTATGTACTGCTGTGTGATATGTATAGTCTCTTTCTGTGGGGTGTGTAACACGCCAGGGGTCCACAAGGTTGTGTGTCGCTAGTTTGTGGCATATACGTGAGGTTAATTTGGACCTATGCTTTAGAGTTTGGTTGGCTAGTTTTGGACCTCTGGAAGAGTCTAGGTCGCTGTCTAATAGGAAATTTGTGTCGCCTCCAATGATTACCTCCCCCAATGCGTGTGCAGACATCAATCCCAACAGCACATCCACGAAGTCACATTGATTAGTATTAGGTCCATATACATTAATCAGAGTATATACATTGTTATTCAGATGGCATTGTAAGATGAGGTACCTCCCTTTTTTATCCCCAATCAATGAAAACGTTACGTCTTTACTTATTAGGATGGATACTCCTCTTTTCTTAGTTGAGTAGCAGGAGTGGTAGTCTATGGGGAATGCCGGAGAGTTAAATTTAGGCCTATTGCCCCACTTAGTGTGTCTCTTGAAGGAACATTACGTGGGCACCTAGGGATTTCGCTTCGCGTAAGGCCAAGCGGCGTTTATTCGGGGAGTTTAGTCCCTTGGCGTTCAGGGAGCAGATTTTAAGTACCATCTCGGAGTTGGATAGGATTGCGGGCTAAGTGTGGTATAGAGCGAGGGCCGCCAGGGTCCGCCAAGGGTTCAACATAGCTCTTACTCCTGATAAGGGATTTGTAAGTGCCTTTCTTGATAGGGTTGTGCGACAGAGGGAGCACGGGGCTTAAGGTATTTAGGATCTGCCTGCCGGAGGATAGAGAAATAACAACATAACTAAAACAATAAGTAACTATGTACAACATTCCGTTCACCGCATCATATCGGTGCGATATTAAGTACAACGGTTTCATTCGTGGCTCAGATGACTTAGCCACACTGGGGGTCGGTATAGCTACCTAGAGCGTGATAGAACAATACTACTGCCAATTGCAGTTAAAGAGGGTCGTGATGTCGCCTTTGCACAGTGCAAACAGTTTCTTAGTCCGGTCTGTGCTTATAAAAATAGGGAGAGGAACCTAGTAAAACATGTAAAAGTGGCCACATTGAAAATATACGACCTGTCCTTTTAGGGACCAGTGTTGCAGTTCTTGGATTGTTTGGCTTTTGCTCTGTTCAGGTGCGCCTCTGCGTGTTGGTGTTGCGTGGTTGCATTTCCCATTCTTTCTGGAGGTGTCTCGGAGGTCTGCTGCTAGGCTGTTGCGAGGGGTCATCCCGTATTGGAATGTTCCATTCCGTCAAGAGTCTCTTGCCAATTTCGGGGTCAGTGATCTGACTGTCCACTCCATTGCGCTTGACCAAGAGTTTGGTGGGGAAGCCCCACTTGTATTGAATCTCGGCTGCTCTCAGTGCTGCTGTGATGTGGGCAAATGTGCGCCGTTTGAACATCGTGGTGGAGGATAGGTCTATGAATAGTTTGACCTGTGAGAATTTTCCCGGGAGCTGGCCTTGGCTTCTGGAGGCCTGCATTACTCGGTCTTTTATTGTGAAATAATGTATCCGAGTGATAACGTCCCGCGGTACAGCTGCCGGTAGATGTTTGGGCTTCGGGAGGCGATGTGTGCGGTCCAGGAGCAGTTCAGTTTCTGTCAGGGTTGGGATGTATGCCTTGAGGATATCTTGGACATAGCAGGTCAGACCCTGTGGACCAACCGATTCCGGGATCCCCCGGATTCTGATATTGTTGCGTCGGTCTCGGTCTTAGTGGTCTGCCACTTTTGCTTCCAAAGATTGCAATCTTGCGAGTAGGGCTGAGTGTGCTTCTGTTATAGAGTTGTGTGCTTCCGTGATTTCTTCCGCCCTCTCTTCTAGGCGAGATGTTCTGTCACCCAGGGATTGAATGTCTAATCTAATATCTGTGGCAATCTGTTTCAATTCCGATTTGAATGTGTTTTTAAGGTCCAGGAGCATATTGTGTAGTGTTTCGTTAGTGACAGGCGTTTGCCTAATGCCTGGAGTGAGGATGAGTCTCACCTGCGTCGGCACACGAGGCCGGAGAATCAGGCCTGTCGGCGCCATCTTGGATTTCAGCTCCGGTGTTTAACATCGATGTTGTCTGCATTTGGAGCGTTTTTTGCTTATATTTCTTGGTGATTTTTGTGGACATCGTTACTCTGCGATGTTGTGTGTCGCTGGAGCCGTGTTCGCCGGTAAAATCACGCTGTTATCCACGCTGTGTGCACTTGCTGGCGGGAGAGCTCCGAGCTCTCTCATCCGTCGCTAGGCCACGCCCCCCGTATTATATATGTTTTAAACCTAATGTTGGCTTATTAAACCAAGATAGAGATTTCTTTTGGTTTCTGGTGTGCATTCTCTTTCATATTTAACTGTTTGTTTTTGTAGTTGAGGGAATACCGGGGATGAATAGCACCCAAGTGTCTATTGATTATACTAATAAATAGTTTCTATATACCTTGTATATTATAATAAATAATATCAAAGGGCAGACTAAACAGGGTTCTTAAAATTATGTTTATTTGCCAGAGCTGAATCCCTTTTTTGATGTAGAATGTCCCCTTGAAGGCAGTGATGATCAAACAGTAGCCAAATCAAAATCATGAATATGTATGCTAATATAATCTCAATGACAAAGGGCTGAGCTTAAGAGTTATATATGTTTTTCTCATTTTTAAATTTTATTTACATCGCATATCAGGCTGGCAAGTCACAACTGGGCATACAATGCAAATCACACCAACTTGCACCAGAGGCAGAAGTAAATGATAAATGGTACGGTTAGGGAGATCAGGTATTTTCCTGGTTTGCCTAATGCACACTCTTTGACCAATATAAGCTCTGTGCAGGGGAGGGCTGCCAGCTTCTGGCCTGGGGACAACTCCGCCGAATTACCTTTTTTCTTTATTATGTACAAACCTCCTAGATCTCAGTGTGGACGATCATACTCCCATAGAGGCCACTAGAACTGCAACATGTGCAATCTTATATGTCTGCAAACTCTATCAGTATGACCCTGCACTGTATGAAGGAATGAGATATGAGTGTGTGCCTAAGACATGCAAACTCTGTTCCCACCACCAGTGACAACAGACTGTGTGTTATGACCCAGCTGTCACTGGCAGACACCTACATGGAAACCATACATACTCGTTATAGTCTGCCAGCCTGGTCAACCCCAGATAATGTAGTTAATCTGTAAATAATACAGTGAACAAGTAAAGGCCTGGAGAGCACTAAGAGGCCAGGACATCAAACCATGCACAAACTCGCACAGTACTAAGCTAACAAAGACCTTGCATAATTCCTGCCTGCTTTCTCATTCCTACAATACTATGCTATACTAAGATGTTTGAAGGAACACTCCAAACACAGTAAGCACTGTAGTGGTAATGGTGCCAGGAGCGCCCTTGTGCTTCCACATGGTAAGTAGTCAAACAGGGATAATTTGGTTGGAGGAGCAAAGCACTTCTTCTGTGTGCTTCTCATCTCCAATTCTTCTATGAGAATCATTGGAGTGGTCAAAAACCTGAAGAGGAGTCAGCCTGGGTTTCGGCACTGGGTTTCGGCACTGGAATCAAGGTAAGTAAACTTTTTTAAATTTCTTCTTCATTTGGGGGTGAGAGGTTGGGGGGGTTGGCTAGAAAGCTAAATAGTTACTAAAACACTATAGCGTTAAGAATGCTATAGTGTTCCTTTAACGTTTTTATGCTAAATGAGAGTCCTCAATGAATGTCCCCTCTGTGCTTCTTGGGCTAATGAGGAAGCATGGCCACCATTGCCGGTAAGGCTGGAAGAAAGTATGTAATCTCTGTCTTATTAAAAATAGAAATTAGTAACACAATATAAGTGTGAACCTCTTTCAGATAGATCCCTTCAATCTCGAGTCTATATGCACATTAGTTTGTCAGGGGGTCATCGGAAGCTGCCATCTCTATGCTTTGCGCTGGACCACATGTACGTCATCCTCATTTCCAGTGGGACCCAAGCACCCAAAGTAAGTTTGATTCTATATAATCACTCCCTGAAATATGGATAGAAGAAATTGGATTTCTTGCGCTTGTGCAATGGCTGTCGGACTTCCCAAACCAGAGTTTCTTCCTTCTGGCTGTAGATAAATGTTGAAAAGGTAATGTCCTCAAATCCAATTGAGTATAGGATGATAATTTTCTGGAGCTTAAAATCAGCTCTAGCTGTATTTGCTTAGACGGTATGAGCCCGGTCTATGGATATGCTGGTATAGGTCCTGGTCCTCTGTTAGGAGATATCCTAAGGCCTGTCAGCGGTAGGCGGCAATCACCAGTTGCTGGGCATGTGTTGTATTTCAGCAGCACAGGTATGCCAGCAGAGAAATTTAAAAACAGAAAATATTGTTCTCTATATGGATAATTGGAAATAAAACAATCACCCTATACTCAATTGGATTTGAGGATATTACTACATCACCTTTTCACTCCATGACATATATAGCTATTGGAAAAAGAAAACACACCCTCTTTGAATTCTATTACATATCAGGACATAATCATAAATCATGTCACAAAGTAGTAATTCATGCATTGTTCTTCTGAGAATGTATTTACCTAATTTTAAGACCTGCTAAAGAGCAGATGATTATATCCTGATATTAAAACCATAAAATTCAGGGGCGGGGCCTGAGCATGGAGCTGAGAGGATGCTAACCTCAAGAGCTCCTGCAACAAGCATCAAATAAAACGGATTCTCACAATCCGAACGACGACTAATCGTGACACAAAAGCCAACAAACGAGGTGACAATGAGCGGAGCACAATGACACCACCCAAGCCACAGGACGAATGCTATTCACTCGACAAGTGTCAGAGGCCTACTCACATGGCGGACGCAGGAAGGACGGTCGCTCTCCTGCCGCCAAGACTGGCTGCCTCGATGTAGCCGTAGACGCCAGAGGTGAGTGGGTCGGATGCTGTTGGCCCTGCAGGGCCAGACCATGTGCAGTGCCGTCAGCCATCTTGGTTGGGCCTCGTGGTTTCTGTCGGTCGGGGTTGCACCCTGGAGCTTCCCGAAGGTGAGCGCTCTTTGTGGGTAGGTAGACCGGGATGACCCCCCTGCCCAGACCTGTGGGGGTCATCCCGGTCTACCTACCCACAAAGAGCGCTCACCTTCGGGACGCTCCAGGGTGCAACCCCGACCGACAGAAACCACGAGGCCCAACCAAGATGGCTGACGGCACTGCACATGGTCTGGCCCTGCAGGGCCAACAGGCGTCTACGGCTACACTGGATGCCACCTTTGAGCTCTTCTGGGCGAAGACATAGAAGATGGCCCCAGACATAGCAGCAAACGCGCACGTCCACCTGGGCAGAGATCCACCAGGAGTATGGCAGCAGCACAACACCCCCGCAGGCAGAAAGCCGCTAGACGCCGTCATCGGAGATTGTGTCCACAAAGCAGTCGGAGAGCCTTGTACTGCTTCCCACACGGGAGGAAAGGGGATGCTCTGCACCTGCAGACATGTAAGGAAAAGTGCGAGAATCACTCTGGTCTAACACCTATTGCAAAAGACTGGCAAACGCTTGTAATTGTCTACCGAATGATCCAATGCACAACAGAAATCCACTGAAGCTGCATCTCCAAATCAGGTTGGCATATCAGGCCTCCAGGGTAGGCATAGGCTGATAGACGTGAACAACCACAGGGACTTACACTACCCACCAAGTTTAATTTTTATTATGACTTCTACTGTTATGGTTAAGTGTTCTTGTTCTCTCAGATTATTTTTAATGCAGTAGCCAGGCAGATATCCCAGACCACCAGCCTACTTAAGAGTTATTCTGCTGCAGATATATTTTGGCTAAGGATAGGCATGATAGGTCACCCAGGCTCCTAAAACCTGTTTTTATTACTTATTGGTTTACTATCTCTGACCCACTTTCTTATCGTGATTGACGTCAGTGTTACGTTGAATACCTAACTTGAAACTACTTACAAAAATGGTTACGCACTTGCATGCCATAATATAGTTTTGCTTCTGCTTTCTCAGCTCTTACCTGCTACTGTGGCACTGTAATACATAACGTGCATTCTGTTAATCCAGCACTCTACTAAGCGCGATATTATAGTTATCCACAATGCACGTAGCATGCATGTTTCATAGCCTACCGTTAAACTTAATCTACATGGTGTAAGCTTCGCTTTTTGATAGATTTTCTGTTACCACGCTGATTCACCTGTTAGCTACTATTCACCACTGTATAGAATAACTTGATAATCCTAGCAAAGAACCTTGGTAACGTCTACATACACATGAGACAGTCTGCTCAAGAGTTACGTCAGGTACAAGCTGTAACAGATAAGAATTGCATTAACTCAAGTTTTTGTTTCTTTGTTAATTGCACATACTGTTTGGCCACGCATACCTAAAGAGATCAACACTCGATTACTAACACTATAAAATTGTGCTGACCCTCTACTTGCCATGTTTGACAATGTATGATGATATCAAGTCTGTGACTGCTGTTGTGGCAACAAAGACTCGTCTGTTATCACTTGCACAACAAAAATAAAGAATTTAAACCCCCACCCCCCAAAAAAACCCCATAAAATTCCCCAAGACTATACCACCAGTAGCGGAACTACTGCTGCACCGGGGCCACCCGATGAGTATCGCTGAACAGGAGCCTGATCAGGTGCAGTGTCCTTAAAGAGCTTTCTTGCACCAGGGCCCTCTCTCCATTAGTTCAGAAACTGTCCCCTACATATGCTTTTTTTCTTTTCTGTAAATCAATGTTTTTATTGAGGATTTGGGTAAAGAAAGTCATACAGGTCCACAAATGGTGAGACATGTAGGTCCCATACTTTGAAGAGATTCATCTGGCCACGCATAGCCTAATTGTATATAGTGAGACCTCACACAGTGTTACATGAATAACAGAATTATGAATAGTTCGAGGTCACCAGCATTTGTGAGGTTTGTTACAAAGGAACTCTGTGATATTGCCATACAAAATTTGCATTACTCCTGTGTTTTATGGCTGTGGAGCTCTGTGATACACTACTATGCAGGGCCGGACTGGCCTACTGGGATACCGGGAAATTTCCTGGTGGGACGCAGCAAGCTGGGGCCGGGCAGACAGCAGGGAGAGCTGTCAGTCTCCCTACACAGGGAAAATAAATTTTGTCTGCATGCCCCACCCCCACAAGCCCCGCCTCTTGCATGGAAGTTCTGCCCTCGCACATAAGCTCCGCCCCCACACACGTTGATGACTCTGGAAAGCTGCTCACCGGACCAGCAGGAAAGGTATTTATATTTACCTTTTAAAAGCTTCCCCTACCCACCTCACAGGCCACTTACCCACCTTACAGTCACCCAACCACCTCACAGTCCCCTTACCCACCTCACAGGCCCCCTACCCACCTCACAGCCCACCTTAAAGTCCCCCTTACCCACCTCACAGCTCCCTTAACCACCTCACAGCCCACCTTACAGCCCGCCTACCCACCTCACATTCCCCCTGCCCACCTTACAGTCCCCTACCCACCTCACAGGCCTCCTACCCACCTCACAGCTCCCTTAACCACCTCACAGGCCCCCTTAACCACCTTACAGCCCACCTACCCACCTCACAGTCCCCCTACCCACCTCACAGTCCCACTTACCTACCTTACAGCCCCCTGCCCACCTTACAGTCCCCTACCCACTTCACAGGCCCCCTACCCACCTCACAGCTCCCTTAACCACCTCACAGCCCACCGTACAGCCCCCTTACCCACCTCACAGCTCCCTTAACCACCTCACAGGCCCCCTTAACCACCTCACAGCCCACCTTACAGCCCCCCTACCCACCTCACATTCCCCCTACCCACCTCACAGTTCCCTTACCCACCTTACAGGCCCCTACCCACCTCACAGCTCCCTTAACCACCTCACAGGCCCCCTTAACCACCTCACAGCCCACCTCACATTCCCCCTACTCACCTCACAGTTCCCTTACCCACCTAAAAGTCCCCCTTATCCACCTTACGGCCCACCTTACAGCCCCCTACCCACCTCACAGCCCACCTTACAGCCCCTTTACCCACCACACAACCCACCTTACAGCCCCTTTACCCACCATACAGAACTCCTACCTACTCACAGCCCCCTACAGCTACCCTATCCACTATACAGAACCCCTACCCACCTAATTAGAAAAATAAATATATATCAATAATATGTAAGGCATATACAGGGAGTGCAGAATTATTAGGCAAGTTGTATTTTTGAGGATTAATTTTATTATTGAACAACAACCATGTTCTCAATGAACCCAAAAAACTTATTAATATCAAAGCTGAATATTTTTGGAAGTAGTTTTTAGTTTGTTTTTAGTTTTAGCTATGTTAGGGGGATATCTGTGTGTGCAGATGACTATTACTGTGCATAATTATTAGGCAACTTAACAAAAAACAAATATATACCTATTTCAATTATTTATTATTACCAGTGAAACCAATATAACATCTCAACATTCACAAATATACATTTCTGACATTCAAAAACAAAACAAAAACAAATCAGTGACCAATATAGCCACCTTTCTTTGCAAGGACACTCAAAATCCTGCCATCCATGGATTCTGTCAGTGTTTTGATCTGTTCACCATCAACATTGCGTGCAGCAGCAACCACAGCCTCCCAGACACTGTTCAGAGAGGTGTACTGTTTTCCCTCCTTGTAAATCTTACATTTGATGATGGACCACAGGTTCTCAATGGGGTTCAGATCAGGTGAACAAGGAGGCCATGTCATTAGATTTTCTTCTTTTATACCCTTTCTTGCCAGCCACGCTGTGGAGTACTTGGACGCGGGTGATGGAGCATTGTCCTGCATGAAAATCATGTTTTTCTTGAAGGATGCAGACTTCTTCCTGTACTACTGCTTGAAGAAGGTGTCTTCCAGGAACTGGCAGTAGGACTGGGAGTTGAGCTTGACTCCATCCTCAACCCGAAAAGGCCCCACAAGCTCATCTTTGATGATACCAGCTCAAACCAGTACTCCACCTCCACCTTGCTGGCGTCTGAGTCGGACTGGAGCTCTCTGCCCTTTACCAATCCAGCCACGGGCCCATCCATCTGGCCTATCAAGACTCACTCTCATTTCATCAGTCCATAAAACCTTAGAAAAATCAGTCTTGAGATATTTCTTGGCCCAGTCTTGACGTTTCAGCTTGTGTGTCTTGTTCAGTGGTGGTCGCCTTTCAGCCTTTCTTACCTTGGCCATGTCTCTGA